CCCCGCCCCCTGCTCCTCACTCATCCCTACTAACCCCGGCTTCTCCAAGGCGCACCCAGGCCGGGCTGGGCAGGAAGTCTCCCCCACGCCAGCGGAGAGGGGAGGCCGAGGCCACCCGGGACTCTGGCATCCCCGAGCCCTGCACCGTCCCGATGGACAAGCGAGGTGGCCCCGGACCCCTGCCCCCACCTGCCCTCCTCCTAGGATCGGGCGGGATCTGAAGGGGGAGCGGAGGGCTCTGGCCGTTACTGTTACTGTTGTCTCATTGTTGAGATCGTTAGGGGCACTGGTTGGGAGGGTTTGGGCAGGAAGAGCACCTGGGGCCCAGGTGGGGCTTACAGTGGGGCCTTGACTTAGAGTGTCCCGACTAACGAGTTTTGTGAGATACCAGCTGTCTCTCGGCCGATTTTTTGCATTGAGTTGATAGAGTAATTTGAGTTAACGAGCTCCTTAACGAGCTCGGTCTCAGAACGAATTAAACTCCAGTCAAGGCCCCACTGTGTTACTGTTACGTGAAGGAATTGCTGCCACCCCAGCCTCGTCCATGGCCCCCGCCATGCCAGGCACTGGGCCGCATTGAGACCCGAGGGCCCCAGCCACGACTTCCCCTGGGGTTCAGATCTCTGCTGGGCCAGGGCCTCGCACTGTGGTTTGAGCAGGTTGCTGCTGGCTCTAGATGTGACTCGGTTTCTCCTCTGTGCGGCAGGACAATGACCCAGCTCCCAGGAGGACGTACAAGGTGTTCAGCAGGCAGAGGCTGTATGATTAGGGTACTTCTGGCCACTGGGGGGCCTCAAGTGAATGACCTTAAGTCTCTGAGTTTCACTTTCCCTAGGACAGTGATGGCGAACCTATGAACTCATTTTTTTGGTTGATTTTTCTTTGTTAAATGGCATTTAAATATATAAAATAAATATCAAAAATATAAGTCTTTGTTTTACTATGCTTGCAAATATCAAAAAATTTCTCTAGCCCTGACCGGTTTGGCTCAGTGGATAGAGCGTCGGCCTGCGGACTGAAGAGTCCCGGGTTCGATTCCGGTCAGGGGCATGTACCTTGGTTGCGGGCACATCCCCAGTAGGAGGCGTGCAGGAGGCAGCTAATCGATGTTTCTCTCTCATCGATGTTTCTCATTCTCTATCCCTCTCCCTTCCTCTCTGTAAAAAATCAATAAAGTATATTTTTAAAAAAATTTCTCTATGTGACACGGCACCAGAGTTAAGTTAGGGTTTTTCGAAATGCTGACACACCGAGCTCAAAAGGTTTGCCATCACTGCTCTAGGAGGTCAAGCGGAGCTCATGGTGCGGGTGAAAGTGGTGAAGGGGAAATCAGTCAGTGAGCCCTATGGTTATCACGTGGGTGCCCGGGAACTTCAACCATCACCATCACTATCGGAATAATAACTATTATTAGTATAATCACAATTACAGCATTAGCTAGTTCCCAACCAACTTTTCCTCGGGATTAGACTTTTTTTTCATGGCCACTTTCCAGGTGGGTAAACTGAGGATCCTCCACCCTACCCAGGCCAGGGCTTCCTGTGGCCCAGATCTGGGGTTCAGGGTCCAGGGGGAGCTGGTCAGGTTTGGAGCCAGCCCTGGGACCACCATTTCCTCCCACTGCCCTTTGAGCGTCCAAGGCGTGGAGGCTGCTGCCACACCAGGCACGGCTGAGGAGGTCATAGGGACAGGTGCGGCCTGTGTCAGACAATTTTTAGGCTCCAAGATTAGGCCTCGATAAGTGGCTAATATTTAGCCAGGCCAGCCTGGCACCTGTTCTTCCTTCCTCTTATCCCAAGTGTGTGATGACCCCAAGAGTGTGGGGAAACCAAGAAGGGGCCTCAGAGATGATCTGCTCCGGGGCAGACGCGGGGAATCCAGACAAGCCAGTTTGGCCCCAAGAGGTAAAAGGCCACTGGGTGACTTCCTGCCACTGCATCTAAGGTCCAGATTGGAGCAGCGAGCAACATGGCTCCTCTCTTCCCGCCCTGTGAACCAGGAAGGATGCCCGTTGTCATCCCTCCTGATGGGAGTCTGGCTGGGCTTGATTGCTCCCCGTGATGAGGAGCTCACCACCAACATAGCAGACTAAAGGAGGTCCCATCAGGTGGTGGTTAAAGGCAGGATTGACCTTTCTTGAATGAGTTCTTTGACCTTTCTGGCCTCAGTTTCCCTATCCGTAGAATGAGGCCACCTCGGCCTTCCCTTTCAGCGTAGGTGTGCGCATGTATGAGCACCTGGTGGGGAGGCCGCACCCAGGACCTGGTGTGTTACCTCTAATCCTGACTGGGCTGCTCATTGTGTTCTCATTCGTGACATTGATCTCTGGGTGACAAAGAATAATGTGAAGATTGCAGGGCTCTAAGCACAGGCCTAGCTTAGAGGAGGGTCCTGACCAGCACGAAGGCGCGGGGGTCCTTCAGGAGGTTCCCACAGGAAGGCACCAGGAGGCCTCAGTTTCCCCAACTGGGAAATCGGCCCAGAGCTGCCCGCTGAGGCTCAGCCGGGGCAGGGCTGGCATTTAATCAGGAGCCTCGGTCCCGCCTCAGATTCCTTCCTGGACTCCTCCCAGGAAGGCTGGTTTGCTATAGGGGAGGACCAGCTCCGTCAGTGAGTCACTGTGTTAGCTTTGGGACGAGAAGCGGAGAATGCGAAGGTCTAAAGGGCGCGTGTCACCTTCTTCGTCACCCAGGTGTTCATCAGTGTGGAAGTGTATGTTTGCATAAATCCACCTGCACACATGGTTTTACTAAAGCAGAGTCTGCATAACACACCTTTCTAAAGAATGACCTTGCCCTGGCTGGTTTGGCTCAGTGGATGGAACGTTGGCCTGGGGACTGAGGGGTCCTGGGTTCGATTCCGGTCGGGGGCACATGATTCTTTCTCATCCTTGATGTTTCTCTCTCTCCCCCTTCCTCTCTGAAATATATATATATTTTTTAAAGAAGAATTATCTTTACTGGGTTTTTTTTCTTCTTTCTTTTTTTCTTTTCTGCTTACAAAAGCCACTCATGCTCCTTGTGAATAGGGACCAGCCCATCACCACTGGTAAAGGCCAAGCCGGTAAAAAAATGGTGAGGGGTCACCCTCAGATTCGCAGGCCAGAGTCCAAATCCCACCAACCCCTTGGCCTCGGTTGGCTGTGTGAGCTCTGGTAGGTGGGCGCCCTCTCTGTGCCCAGTTCACTCCCTGGGAACTGGAACCTAGGGGCCCCGTAGATGGCTCAGTGGGAGCCACAGGGACTCATCCACAGGCAAGGGGTTAAACCCTCCCCTGCAAGTGCCCCGATTCTCATTCTTGAGTCCCCAGAAAATGGTCTTGTTCACGGCCTCTCTGCCCTCATTAGCACATCAGCCCTGTGAGCTCAGCATGTCTCTGTCAAGTGGTCTGCGTGCCCAGAACCTAGACCAGGGCATGGCTCAGACCAGATGCTCAGAGCTGTCATGAGTGTACACGTGATCGTGGTGGCTGATGGCGATCTTGTCATTGT